TCCTGCTAGTGTGTTTAGGTTAGCTTTTGTTGAGTTCTTGGTACACACACCAACTGCAAAGAAGATAGATCCCTTTTGTTCTTTTCTAATATTAAGACATGCTTTTTATTTCTTGCTTTACTGTGTTAATTGAAAACTATTACGGGGCCAGAGAGATGGTTCAGTGGTTGAGAGCACTGGCTGCTCTTGTCAAGGACTTGGGTTCAGTTCCCAGCACCCACATGGTGGCTCACAACCGTTGGTAACTCCAGTTCCAGGAGATCCGACATCCACTCTTACCTCTGTAGGTGCCAGGCACACTCATGGTACACAGATACACATGCAGGCAAGAGACACAGGTGCATAAAATAAACCTAAAACAAAACCACCTAATGATGGCGGGAGCACAGTGAGTGGCAGAACACTTGCCTGGTTCACTCAAGGGCCTGGCTTTTTCCGGGCCCCTGAAAAACAAATTGCAGCAGGCAGCAAAGCCAAGCCAAACAATCAGATATGACTGAATGATGGAGATTCAGTTAAGAAGATTTCCTGTGGTTACCCCTTTGAGACAGGGGCTCACTCTGTAGCCCAGGCTAGTCTGGAACGCACTAGGAGTGCAGATGAAGCCGAGACCAGCCTTGTCAGGTCCTTCCAGCACAGCGGTTCCCAGCCTTCCTATTGCCTTGGTCCCTTAATATAGTTCCTCATGTTGCAGTGACCCCCACCATAAAATCATTTTCATTGCTACTTCATAACTGTATTTTTGCTACTGTTACGAATCATAATGCAAGCGACCCTTGCGGAAAGGTCATTTAGCCCCTCAGAGGTCGCAACCCACAGATTGAGAACCACTGCCTCACAGCTGCTGGCGCAGAGGCGCCTGTGGCGTAATGAAAGCATGCAGCACAGTGCCTGGCTTCAACAACCTGGAAAACAGGACATCTGAATTAAAATCAATAAATAATAGACATAAGAAAACCTCCGCAGATGTGGGCATAAGAATGATGAAGGTTGTTTCTCCTCCCTGTAGACTGGCCACAGTTACAGCCCCCAACAGTATCACAGGCGGCAGAGATGTTCGGCCTGACTGCCTCGGCGTACATGACTAAATATGACTAGGTCGTCATATAGCCCAACCGAGACAAGAAAGCTTCAGTTCACAGGGTTCAGGTTTAAAGCTATTTCAAGGCAAAAATGTAGAAACAACATCAAAGTCCATCAACAGAGAACAGTGAAAACCTGACACAATGTTTATGAGATTTTATCCGGCCATTAAGGTGAAGTGCAGTCTAGGTCCAGTGGCCTGGAAGGAGCCTGTGACACTCTCCTAACAGGCCTGGCATGATGGCATACACCTTTGATCCTGTCATTCGACACAGGCAGTCAAATCTCTGTGACCTCAAGGCCAACCTGGTCTAACATTCCAGGCCAACCCGGGCTACATAGTGAGACTGTCTCAAAACAAACAAACACACAAACAAACCCATGAGATTCAAACAGCAACAGATCCACCGGCAACAGCCTGTTTTATTTATCTGTTACATAGCAAGTTTAAATGCCTAAATTCAGTGGGTGTTTGGTCAAGGGCTACGGTGTAAGGGCCAATAGAAGAGGTTACTGGTTTTCATTCCTTGCTGAATTATTTAACTTGTATTCTTATAGTATTAAAAATTAATAAAGGAAAACGTGGAGGAGGATGGGAAGGTGCCGATCTGGAAAACATCAATTAACTCCTAGATCCCTGTGGACACATTGAAAGTTCATAGCTTGGGGCCAGCGAGACGCCTCAGTGCGCTGGCTGCACACGCCTGCTGGCTGCAGTTGAGTCTCTGGAGCCGAGTAAAGATGGAAGGAGAGAAGCACCTCACCAAGGAGACCTCGAGCCTTCGTGGTGTGTGCACACACACACAGCATCCACATAGACATGTGCACAAGTCATAAACAAAATAATTCATTCATGTGGGGCTGGAGAGATGGCTCAGAGGTTAAGAACACTGGCTGTTCTTCCAAAGGTCCTGAGTTCAAGTCCAAGCAACCACATGTGTGGCTTATAACCATCTCTAATGAGATCTGGCATAAATGCAGGCAGAATACTATATAAGCAATAAATAAAATAAACCTTTAAAAAAATAATTCATTCATAATCTATACCTATTGCTTACAGGGCACAGAAAGGAAATGAGGGAGGGCTGGCATGTGAGCAGGAGAGGGTGGAAAGCATGGGTGCTGGAGCCCAAGGCTTAGGGTGGGGGGATGGAACAAGGGTGGGGAAGAGGGTCACAGACAGAGGCTGAGAGATGGTGTTAGCCTCAGCTCCATGCCTGTAGGAGGAGCGGCGGGCAGGAGGCCTGGAGTCCCTGAAGGCCCGGAGCCAGGAAGCCAGCTGCCTTGTGAGGGCATGGTTTTAGCAGCCTCCCAGCATCTCTTGGGTCTACCTAGCAGCTCATGGACCACAGGCACCTGTGATGTCATGGAAGCCCCTTGCCATAGCCTCCTCCGCAGTGTCAATGGCTCACTCCCTTGCTCCCATGTCAACGGAGCATCTCTTCCAGGAAATGCCTAGTGCTATGTGCCAAGGCACTGGTCTGCTGACGACAGAAGTGGCCCTGATGAAGGACTCTTCAGGGTTGTAGGAATGGTACTCACAATGATGGCTACTCTGACTCCTGAGCTCAGCTCAGTTGTGGTGCTGGGAGAGCTGTGGACACTCGCTTGCCCTTGGTCACAGCCACAGCTGTGGTCACAGCCAGCTAGCTGCCAAGACCCTGGGCAACTGATGGTGGGCTAGGGTGAGGGATCTGGAAAGCACCATGGGGATCCAGTCATCAGAGGACTGGACAGATGGAGACTACACTCTCATGGCCACCTGCTATGGGCCATCTGCTCCCTGCTGAGAGTCCAGGGAGCCAGAACAGGAGTCAGAACAGCCACCTCTGCCAGCAATCAGGATTCCTTGAGGCAGGTATGGCAGAGGCCTGTCCATAGGCTGCCGTGGACCTCACCTTGGGGCTACGTGAGCTAATCGTGAAGATACAGAGGGGACTGGAAGTCCCTCATCTCAGTCCATAGCCCAAGACGGCTCCCACATACCAGCTGGTCTATTCCCACACAGGTAAAGTGGCCAGGGCTGTGGCCTGGGAGGACATGGCCAGGGGCCTGCCCTCAGGCGGAAAGCAGGGACTGACGTGAGAGGACACGGAGCTGCCGGCCACAGCAACCGGCCACAGCAGCTGACAAGCACTACTTGGTTTCTGCCCTGATGTGACTCTGCTGTCCCTCCTTCCTAGGTCCTCCTCTGCCTCAGCCCTGTCCACCCCAGCAGTACACACACCAGTGGCCTCTCAGTGTGGGAATCGATCACCAGCAGCTCTCTCTCCCTGCCCCGCTGCCCACGAGCCTCACGCATCAGGTCACTCGGGGACCACAGGGCTTCAACAGGCCTGGCATAGCAGCCTGAGGGCTCTGCACCTCACTACCTCAGAGGGAGAGCCAGTTCCTGAGGAGAGTCTCTAGGCTGCCTGTTGACTGGTTCCAAGTGTGTGGGGGTTCTGGCTGCCTCGCCTGTATGAGCAAAAGGCCACCTGTGTCTCCACAGCTAAGGAGGTTCCTCGAGTGCTGCTGTGCCCAGAGTCCATGTGTGTTTGCTGGCGAGCATGTGTGGACGTACATGCCAATCTCCATGCATGTGAACATGTGTGAGCGTGTGTGCCTGTGAATGTGTATGAATCATGTGTGTGAACTGAATGATATGTGCGTATGTGTGTGTACACACATGTATGCACTGATTGGAAGCAGGTGGGTAGTGAGGACCCCTATAGTGGGCTCTTGGGTCCCAGCTGCTCACACAGGCCTCAGGCCTCTTCACAGCCACTCGGAGCAGCAGTCTGAACCTGCTGGTCCATTTGCTTCCGTTTCTGGGGTCACATCTTTATCTTTAGACAATGGGACAAGACCGTACACAGGGAGAGGGACAGGATGGAAGATGGACACTTCCTCAGGCCCCGGTAGCTATGACATCCCGGCGAGGCAGCGACCAACTGGACTGCTCCCCTCGGTCCCCTACATACAAGGACTCCACACTCCTGGTCTTCACCTGCATTCAGCCCTGCACCCACACACACTTTTCTTTAATGTCAGGGGAGCTAGACATGGGTCTGAGTCACGCCTGGGAGAGCTGCAGGCATCAGGATGGAGGGAGGGACAGCTGTGAGGAGGGACAACTGTGAAAGTGCCAAATGACACAAGGATGAAAATTACCTGAGAAGGGCGCACACCTAACACGGCTGTTTGCAAGGGTGACTCACAGGAGTTCACCTCCTGGAGCCCGTCGCTTGGTGACCTTTACTTTTCTGTCACAAACACATGTTGCCCTTTTGATAAGGAAAAACCAGTCCACATGACACGAAGATCGTAGGTTCACCTCCCAAAGCCACTGCCAGCCTGTGATCTTGAGGCCACTTCTGAGACAAGCCACCAGCAGGTGACTCCTTACCCCTCTGGCCCCGTGAAGTGTGGCCACTGCAGGGCAGAAGCCAGACCCAAGAGGGAAGGGCCTGCCCAGCTCTGGTGCTGCGCCCTGGGCCTCAGACGATGTGGCTCTAAGATGCTGCTACTGAGCATCCCGTGAGAACCTCCCGCTGCTTCTGTGAGATGAGGAACTTTGCAAAGAAAACCGGAAACACCAGGACTGCATAGAGCCCTCTATGGCACCAGCACAGCGGGACTCAATCACCTCTGGATAGTCACCACAGATACTAAGTCACCCTGGGGCTCCCTTCCCCAAGAAATAAAGCAGGTCAGGTAAAGAGGTGCCACAGGCCTGCTTGAGAGAGATGACCCCAATACCCCTGCCAGCTCACTCGTGGTTTTCTTGTCCCACTGGGAAAGCCATTCCCAAAAGACCCCCTGGCTGTGTCTCTGCAGACTGAGCGGTCAGGCACTCTGAGGCCAGGGATTCTCTATTTAGGAACAGGTTGGGGGTGAGGACTGCTGGAGCCCCACGGAGGGCACCGGGTTCTTAC